CAGTAACTCAAAGTTCAGCTCTACAATGTACCCTTAAACTAGCAGGACATTGGTATATTGAATAGTCTCAAATTTCCAAATAATATTACAAAGAGCTATGTATTCATATACAGCAATCACAGAAGGAACTTATGACCTAAAGCAAAGGTAAACTAACTTTCTTGAAACTTCTTAGATTCTAAACCCACCGGACAACCTCTTGTCCAGGGTGAAGACTAGTGGAATTTTTAAACCTCTAATCTAGTTTAAGGGTGCAGCTTTTATTTTTACCTGCTGGCTTGTGTTCACAGCAGCTTTTAAAGACTGCTTGCTTAACTACAGCTGCATAGCCCAGCTACAGAAAGTCTTTTCAATTTTTGCCAGTTTTGTTTCCATAATATTAAACATCACACTTTAGCTGGACAGGAGTTAGAGGTTTATTATCAGTCTATGCAAGACTAAAAATTCAAAGCAAATTCAATTTTGCATAAGGGAACATTGTAAAGTAACAATTCTTGATATTACATGCCTCATATAATCCATTTCAAACCATAGAGAATTACATCTTTATGTGTCACTGTTCCAAGAGACAAACAAATGTGAACAGCTAAAACATTTTTAAAATGCACCAAACTTACGAAGTCTCAAACAAAACTTGAATTTTCTGTACATACTCCTGTCAAATGAAGTTATTTCCTGTGCACCACTTCTCTTGCAAACTGGTCTTCTATTTCCTTTCATTTGACCTGGATCGGCTAGGAGACCCAGAGAAAGATCAGGACGGCTTGTGATTTCTCTCCTGGGAAAGTGATATCTCTCTTCTCCTATATCTAGAAAGGGACCTGCTCCGGCTGCGGGAGAAGCTTCTCCGTCTTGGAGATGTGTGGTGAGGTGGAGGACTCCTCCTCCGACAATCATCTCGAGGGCGACGACCCCAAGAACGAGGCGGCCCACGATTTCAACTTCTCTTTTCCCCATTCGACAGTTCTACTCTTACTCGGCGGCCACATAGTGTTCTCTCATCTAGCTCTTGGACAGCATCGGCTGCATCTCGGGATCTTCAAATTCAACAAAAGCGAAGCCGGGAGGGTTTCTAGCAACCCACACACTTCAGAGTGGTCCACAATAGCCAAAGGCTTGTTCCAATTCAGCCTGTTACCATTGTTTCCAAGATTACCTACATAAACTTTACAGTCCGACAGACAGGAATCACGATGCATTTCAAGATCTCGGGTTAGAAACGCGAAGGCTCAAATCCACACACCCTCAGCTGGGTCTTCCCGGTCCCCTCCCGCCTGGCACCCGCAGATGCTCTCGCACACCCGTCGTCCACGAAATTGCTCTATGGCTGTTTTTGTCCTCAATAGCAGAGTTGAGTAGTTGCAACAGAGACCATATGGGCCCAAAAGTCTAAAACATTTACTATCTGGAACTTTACAGAAAAAATTTGCTGACCCTTATTATCCAGGAGGATGGCAGAGCCGCTACTTGGAAAGAACCTGGTTCTAGAATTACTGTGGAGTGAGGAGGAAAATGATCTTTATTGTGCTAAGCCACTGAGATTGTTATTTGTTACAGCAGCAGGTTACCTGTTACCTAACCAACCCACTGTGGATGTTTTGTGAAAGACATGTATATATAACTCTTCTACACTTTACAATGACTAGCTTTGGGATTGTTTTTTTTTTTCAATTGAAGTTTAGTTGATTTACAATATTCTTTAGTTTTAGGTGTACAACATAGTGATTCAAAATTTTTATAGATTATACTGGATTTAAAGTTATTATAAAATATTGGCTATATTACCTGTGCTGTACAATATATCCTTGTAGCTTATTTATTTTATACATAGTAATTTGTGCCTCTTAATCCACTGTGGCAATTGGTTTTGAATAAAGAATGTTATCAATAATAAGAAATCACTGATTTAGTTTCTCTGGAATATATTTAATTTTTAAATTGTATTAAATTATTTAATATAATATATATATTAAATTATTTAAAACATTTAGGTTTCCAAATTTACTAAGCATCTGCATTTCACTCAGTAACAAGAGGGCTGGATAGCTCTCACTGTTGTAGCAGCTTGTATCCTAAACTTTGGCCTGGGTAAATAGGAGGTAGAGTTGGGGGTTCAAAACCCTGGCCTCCTAGCTTTCAGTCCCAAGCTGAAAATTCCTACCATGTAGAGATTATAAACTCATAGGGACAATAAGGACTAATGAGAAGTTTACGTGAAAGTGCTTTGTAAAGTATAATGTCATGCAGGTGATATCTCAGAACTGAACACAGCGGGGAAGGAAGGCCACCTGGTGAAGATGGAGCAGAGCTCCTCGGCGCTCACCTCTCAGAGCAGGTCTGCTGAAGGACCGCTGGGGCTCCAAACAGCTGATAATCCAAACCACAAAGTGGGCCAGACTAATGCTTTTTAGAAGTGTCTTAGCTATAACTTTAGATCTTCTTCAGTTCTATAAACTGATACTTTTCATTTAATCACTGAAACAAAATATACATGAAAACAATATCTATTTCTTTCAAAAAGTTCTTAGCTACTAACTTCTATTTTTCACAACCTTGTGGTCTCAAAGTTCTCAAGAACAAAGGGCTGAAAGACCAAACTTTTCACTGTTGGTAATTATGTTTTCATAGGTATATATTGCATTTACATTGAATTGTTTCTTAATTTTTCCTCATTAAACACACACAGACAGGGACCAGGAGTCCTGCTCCTGTACCAAATCACTGCCTTTAACTGCCATGGAATTAAATCTAGTCAAGAACCTCTTCTACTCAGAGAAGTAAATAAAGGATAAGGGATGCTTTGACTACTGGTTCTGCAGTGTTTGGTCAACTGCAGTCTTCTCCCCTTCTGACAGCCCTGAGAGTCCAGGTGAGGTGGGAGAATGTGAACTTGCAGTTTGTGCCGACCTGATCTGAGAACATAGGCTCGTGGAAGTGCAAAGTTGGGCTCATCAGGGCTGGGGTTTTGCCAGGGGGCATAATGAAAGGATGAGTCGTGGCATTTGAGGACATTGGTAAGAGAGTAGTTGAAGTGATGACTGGAAATGAAAACTGAATAGAGAAGAAAGTAAAGATAGGAGGAGCTGATCAAGTAACACATGTACTAGTTAGAATAACCGAGAAAGGGATGTGGGAAAATACAAGGTTGTGGTGAAAAAGTGAGATTTTCACATTTCAGAGGTGGAGAAATGTTCAGGGTAAAGACAAGACCTACGGTGAAGCCATAAGTATGGGTCACAGAAGTGAAGTGAGGTGAGCGTCGCTGGATCTGAGGAGGTGAAGGAACCCAGAAGCAACAGGGCTGGGTTATTCAGGGCTGAATTATTCACACAGAGGATGAAGACAACCAGATGGCAGCAGGATTTGGGCCACAGAGAATAACTGTGAGCCAGGTACTAAAATGAGGGCAAAGCAGGGGAGCACTGACAGTAATGAGGAGGGATAAAGTGATACGACTGGATGGCAGGACCACAGAGGAGAGTGTCCTGAAAGGGGTAATGGTCTGAGAGGGGAACTGGGAAGTGACAGTGAGGTCCATGGAGTGTGGGAGAAGCAACAGCATTCTCTTGACAGGGCTGCAGGAGAAGCAGGTGCCCAGGGTAAGCCAGGTTTCAGGCAGGAGACAGAGGGGGAGCCATTAGTAAACCAGATGAGGCTGTGGGCATGTTCCAGAGGACACAGGGTGCGGCGGGAGGCTGTGTCACAAAGAAGAAGTGCAGAGTGGGATGTGGATAAACATGAAGAAGGGGGAAATGACAAACTCTCTCACTTTATTTTTATCCACGTTGTCTTCTATACAGTTTAAATGCTTTTTCAAATATTTTTCAGAACAATGTGTGGTATACTTAAAAAAAAACAACCTTAAACTTTTAAACATTCCATGCTAGACACAAACCTGAAGTATTTTTAAAAAGCTCACAATAAGGAAATAGGGAAATTCTCAAATGATGGTTGACAAACAAAATACTGATAAACTTAAAACTTTTACTATTATTTTGCATTAATTATTCTTGGCTTGAAGGAATACAAGGAAGAAGAAAGGGGTAAGTACATAACTGGGAACAAATATTGGTGTTGCTGAAAGAGTATAAAAAAGGGATACTCATAGTTCTTTGTCACACTATTTATGCATCTCCTTAAAAAGTAACAAGTGAACAGAGTCGCTAGAGGAGCACAATGTGTTTGCGTTAAAGACACACTATTTTATTCGCAAACTTGACTGAAACCACCACAGACTAAGAAGATGTAGAGAGGGCTCTTCCCCTCCAAGCTGGGTTGGTGTTAGACAGCTGGGTGAGGGTTAAGAAAGTTGATGCTTTTAGTAAACTTTGGACCTCCTTCCCCAGAAGACTGTATATAAGCTAATACATATAACATTTCACTTACTATTTCAGGAGGTTTGGAATCTACCCAAGACCATTCTTGGGCCAAGACTAAGAGAAAGTGAAGTTTAGGAAAGTGGCCTGAAGAAGGCAATCAGAGAGCTAGCTTCTGAGGAAAGAAGACATTTTGTTTGAGAAATTTTCTAGGGGAAGAAGTAGGGAAGCCACTATTTCAGAGTTCAGATGAATTTGAGGATAGTGGTTTTGAACCAGGAGAAGCGAATGGATGCAAGGACCAGAAAGATATAGCCTTCATTCCAAATCCCTAGCTATAGGAGTGACAGCACACACTTTGAAATGTGCAACATATTAATAATCATTGTTGGGAAATCCAGGAATGAGAGACATGGAAGAGGTAGAAATGAGTTAAAAAATGCCCAGAGTCTGGAATCAGACAGACCTACATTAGACGACTTGGGTTTCATTAGCTCACTGTTGAGAAGGTTAGTGTTTCTAGGCCTCACATATAAAGTAAAGATAGTTCATGGGCTGGAGTGAAAATTAAGTTAGCTAAAACAAGTGATACGTTTGGCAAACAGCCTGGCACCTGGTGGCCCTAAGCAAATGGTAATACTTTACGTGTGCAGATTTGGGGAGTGACATTACCCATGTCCTTACCGAGAATGCCAACAGAAGAGATGGGCCGTGCCAGTGCTGTTTTCCAGGATGCTCCAGAGGGAGTGGACCACTTATTTGTGGTCCTCTCCGCCAAGAAACAATATTGCAGGGCTCTAGCCTGCCCTGATCTCTGAAGGTACACATACAGCTCCTTTTCCTTCTTGATGCCCACCTCATAGGGATACTGGACAGCGGCCTGGACTGCACGGATGGAAGTCTCCTGAGAAAGGCACCCAGGGTGCTGCTTCCGCATCTTCCGAAGGGCTTCACTGAAAATGGTGTCCATGTTGGACAAGCTCTGGATCGGCTTGTTGTAGATTCTACGGGATTCTAGAGATTGATCTGAAAGAAATAAGAAAGAAAATTTGGAAATGTTACATATGCCAAGGGAATATGTGTATATAGCAATAGTAATAACTTGTTCAAATTCAAAATACGAAATTAAATACTATTCATCAAGATATTTAATGTAACACTAATACCAAAATCTCCAACATCTTTGCAACTTAGTCCCATTAGACAGAATTTAATAGATTCAAAGCAATTTCCAGTTACCTAATTGAGGCATAAAATTACACTTTCTTTTTACTTCAAGGCCAAGATAATATTATGATAGATTAATTATATCAATCTGCCAGTGAGCTTAAGGAAAATTGTTCTGAGTTAATGATATTTTAGGTTCAAAATAATTTTAACTCCATTCTTAACAGTAACAAAAACTTTAAAATACCTAGAAAAGGAGACAGTGTAATATCGGCACAAGGATAGAGATACAAATCAATGAAGAGAATTGAAAGTTCAAACATAAATCCTTATAATCACTGCCAATTGATTTTCAACACAGGTGCCAAAACAATTTAATGAGAAAAAGGAGATGCTGCAGACAACTGGATATCCACATGAAAAAAACAAACTTAGATCCTTACCTAGCACCATATATAAAAATTAATTCAAAATGGATCATAAATCTAAATTGAAGAGCTAAAACTATAAAATTTTCTTAAAAAAAAAGAAAAATCTTTATGACCTTTGGTTAGGCAAAGTATTCTTAGCACAATCCATGAAAGAAAAAAATCAATAAGTTGGACTTCATCAAAATTAAAGACTTTTGTACTTCAGAGAACACCATTAAGCAAATGAAATGAAATGAAATGATAAACCATAGACTGGGAGAAAATATTTGTGTGGTAGGCAAAATAACACCCTCCCCAAATGTCTACTTCCTAATCCCCAGAACCTATGAATATATTACCTTACATGGCAAAGAGACTCTACAGATGTGATTAAGGTTAAAGACCTTGAAATGTGAAGATTACCGTGTATTATCCAGGTGGGCCCAATCTAATTACATGAATGCTTAAAAGAGGAGAGCCTTTCCCAGCTGGAGTGAGAGAGGAAGAGTCAGAGAGATGCAACACAGGAAGGACTGGCTCCATGGATGACAACCTGGCTTTGAACATGGTGGAAGGGGGCCAAGAGCCAAGGACTGCAGTGACCTCTAGAAGCTAGGAATGGCCATCAGTTTACAACCAGCAAAAACATGGAGACCTTGGTCCTACAACACAAGTATGAATTCTGCCAACAACCCGAGTGAGCAGTAAACAGATTCTCCCTTAGAGCCTTCAGAAAGGAGTGCAGCTGCTGACACCTGGGTTTAGTCCAGTGAGACCCCTACCAGACTTCTGACCTATAGATCACTAAGTAATACATTTGTGTTGTTAAAACTGCTGAGCTGGTGGTAATTTGTTACCAAGAAGTAGAAAATGAATACAATTTGCATACAGAATATCTAATTAAGTATTTGTATCCAGAGTATATAAAGACCTCTTATGACTCAATAATAAGAAGGCAAACAACTCAATTTTAAAATGGGTAAAAACTTGAGTGGATATTTCACCAAAGAGCATATACAAACAGCTAATAAGCAGTGAAAAAACATTCAGCATCATTAGTCATTAGGGAAATGCAGATTAAAACCACAATGAATGTGGTAGGCAGCCTCTAAGTAATGGGATGTCGTTTCTGAGATTAAATGACAAAAAGATTCTTGCTCTCTCACTTGCTCGCTCTGAGGGAAACAAGCTACCATGGGTGAGCTGCCCTCCAGTGAAGCCCATGAGGCAAAGAACTGAAGGAGGCTTTCAGCCAACAGCCAGTGAGGAACCGAGGCCTTCAGTTCAACAGACCAAGAGGAACTGAATTCCACTAATAGCCACTTGAGTGAGCTTGGAAGCAGATCGCTCCCCAGTCAAGTCTCCAGGTAGATACAGTCCCCCCTGCAATACCTTGAATGTAGTCTTTTGTGAAACCCTAAACCAGAGGGCCTAGCTAACCACACCCAGATTCCACAGAAACTGTAAGATAGGAATAGTTTGATTTTAAGCAGATAAATTTGGGGATAATTTGTTATGCAACTATAGATAACCAACACAGACCCACTAGAAGGACTATCATCAAAAAGACATGACACAGAATGTTGGCGGTGATGTGGAGTACCTGGAACCCTCGTGCGTTGCTTGTGAGAATGTAAAACAGTACATTCACTTTGAAAACAGTTTGGCAGTTTCTTAAAAAGATAAACATAAACTTACTGTTCGACCCAGCAATTTCACTCCTAGGAATCTACCCAAGAGAAATGAAAACGTGTAAAACTTGTATGTGAATACTCACTGCAGCATTATTTATAGTAGCTCAAAACCAAAAACAATGTGAATATCTGACTGATGAATGGATAAAGAAAATGTAGTATAGCCATACAATGAAATACTATTCAGCAATAAAAAGGATCAAACTGGACTTCCCTGGTGGCGCAGTGGTTAAGAATCCACCTGCCAATGCAGGGGACACAGGTTCCAGCCCTGGTCCAGGAAGATCCCACATGCTGTGGAGCAGCTAAGCCCGTGCACCACAACTAATGACCCTGCGCTCTAGAGCCCAAGAGCCACAACTACTGAGCCCACATGCCACAACTACTGAAGCCTGCGTGCCACAACTTCTGAAGCTGGCATGCCTAAAGCCCGTGCTCTGCGACAAGAGAAACCACTGCAGCGAGAAGCCCAAGCACCGCAACAAAGAGTAGTCCCCGCTCACTGCAACTAGCGAAAGACTGCGCACAGCAATGAAGACCCAATGCAGCCAAAACTAAATAAATAAATTAATTAATTAATTAATTAATTAATTATTTTAAAAGGGACTTCCCTGGTGGCACAGTGGTTAAGAATCCACCTGCTGATGCAGGGGACACAGGTTCGAGCCCTCATCCAGGAAGATACCACATGCTGTGGAGCAACTAAGCCCATGTGTCATAACTACTGAGCCTGTGCTCTAGATCCTGCATGCCACAGCTACTGAAGCCCGGGTGCCTAGAGCCCGTGCTCTGCAACAAGAGAAGCCGCCGCAATGAGAAGCCCACACACCACAATGAAGAGCAGCCTGCACTCACCTCAACGAAGACCCAACACAGCCAGGAAAAAAGAAAAAAAGGATCAAACTAATGACACATGCTACAACACAAATGAACCTTAAAAACATTATGCAAGCTGAAAGAAGCCAGATGCAAAAGATTACATATTGATGTGATGTAATTTATTTTAAATGTCCAGAAGAGGCAAATCTATAGAGACAGAAAGATCAGCTGTTGCCTAGGGCTGGGGGTGGGAGTGGGGGTAAGCTGCAAAAGGGCAGAGGGAACTTTTGGGGATAGTGGAGAAGTCCTAAAACTGATTTATGGGGATGGTTGCGCAACTCTAACTCAAAGGCAAATTATGCCTCATCAAGGCTGTTAAAAAATATCTAGCAATGAATTTGTTAAGAAAGGTACAAGACCTTTATGAAGGCCTATATAACATTTTATTGAAGAACATAAAATAATACCTTAATAAAGAATGACCCCATGTCCCTGAATATAAATATTTAATAGCATAAAATAAATATTTTCCATATATTATATATGAATTTCTAATCAGAATCCTTGTGGTCCTATTTTTTTAAATAACTCAAAAGAATTATTTTAAAGTTTACATAAAAGTATAAATGTGTAACAAATTTATTTTTTCTAAAATAGTTTTCTAAAATAGTATTCCAGAAACTGTTTCCTAAAAAGTGCTACTATCTCTTAAAAAATAAAGCAATATATCAAAAATGTACACCTTAGTTAATTAGACCAGAAACCTACCAGAGCTTACAAAGCAGTTTCACTATAAAAAGACAGATGAATGTGAGCCAGTCTGGCATTAGTATGTTACTATGTGTCCAAGGGAGAGTAAGGTTTGGATATAATCATGTGCACAAGGAAGAACTGTATCTGTGAGGCATTGTATAATCTCAACCTTTTTTTTTTTTTTTTAACCTAGTTGGCAAGAACATTTCCTTAATGCTTGATTACTATGTAGAATTGAAAAGAATGGATTTTTTTTTTTTTTTTTTTTTTTTTGCGGTACGCGGGCCTCTCACTGTTGTGGCCTCTCCCGTTGCGGAGCACAGGCTCCGGACGCGCAGGCTCAGCGGCCATGGCTCACTGGCCCAGCCGCTCCGCGGCATGTGGTATCTTCCCAGACTGGAGCACGAACCCGTGTCCCCTGCACCGGCAGGCGGACTCTCAACCACTGCGCCACCAGGGAAGCCCAAAAGAATGGATTTTTAAATTAATGCTTTCCCATATGATATAAGAATAAGATTCAGGAAAGGAGGCAAGATGATGAGTAGCAGCATGTGGTCCCTGTTATCGTTGGAAAAACATGAACTCTACCCAACAGGCTACCAATTACTTGCTCAGTTAACCAATGAGTTACCCAATCCTTTATGGGAAGGCAAGCTCAGTGCAGAAGGATGAAGACCTTTCCAGGGCCTACAGCTGATTTAATTCCCTGGTGGCTCAAAAGAGAGACAAGAACAGACAGTGGGGAGAGGACAGTGGGTAGAAGACAAGTGGAAGAGGAAAGGAGGCAGAGCTGTCAGTGTTGTGGCATCTGACAACAGGTGGCTGTTGCAGACTTTCCTGGGACAGAGCATAGTTGGGTTTGGGATATCTTAGAGCTGGATCTCTGTCCTTGTGACACTACCACCAGCCCCACCATGACAGGGGCTGATTCTCAACATCATAGCACACATCAGGGTTATTTGAGGAGTTTAAAAAGTTTGGATGCCCATGCCCCACTGTGAACTCAGTTAAGAATCTTTAAGGGTGGGGCCTGGGCATGAGTATTTTTTTTTAATTCAATAGTTGATTTTGAGGTATAGCCTCTGGGAGGTCCAAGAGCAGAGCATATGTCAGCTACTGTATCAAGGACAGATGCAGCTCCTGGCAACTCTAACCTGGGCCAGAGATTGAAAAGAGATGAGAA